CTATCTATCTATCTATCTATCTATCTATCTCTTTCTTTGTGTGCGAGTGTGTGGGTGTTTGCGTGTACATGCATGTTTAATGTATTATATTACATGCATATAATATATGAAAGCGTAAGTGTGTTTATACCATTAATAATTTTATAATACTATAATATAATGTTAAGTGCATCTGAGTGAGTGTTCTTTCTTAAAACTCAATGGACATGAGCGTATAATTTTTTTTTAAACGTGTGTGTGTCTCACTTTACTTATTTTTAGCTTTTTCAGACACCCCTCACCCCAACCCCTCCCTCTCCACACCTTACCATGTGCTTAACGAATTTTGCTGTTACTTAAATGCTTCACTTAAACTAAACTCCATTAAATGTACATTGTTATGTGTAACGACACCGCGCAGCAACTAAACAAAAGGAGGGGGAATGGATGGGAGTGTTGGGTTATCAAATTATCAGGTGTTTTGCTTCTTCAAGTGTACTTTTTTTTCAGAATAGCAGGTGCATGCTTGTGTGTGTGTGCAATATTCGTCCGAGAGAGAGAGAGAGAGAGAGAGAGAGAGAGAGAGAGAGAGAGAGAGAGAGAGAGAGAGAGAGAGAGAGAGAGAGAGAGAGAGAGTTTCTTTTGACGCATCATAAGCTAAAGAGTCGAGTTCAGTCAAAAGGCATTATTTGGGAAAAAGAACAGAATAAAGACGAACAGCATATTATTTACAATGACTTCTGAGTAGGCCTCAAACAGCTGTGTCAAACGCCACTTATTATGTTTCATAAATTGGAATAGATTTTATGGCAATAAACTACATGTACTCAAAAGATTGGCACGTATTGTTTCGGGAATGCTGAGCTAAGCAAACAATGTTCAGGATAAACAGCTGTTCTCCGGCCTTAATTTACTTCATAATCTTTCACGTTTTTTGTACCCTCTTACTTCGATCACCTCCGTTTGTGTCTCAGGGTTCACCAAATAGGCATGCTGTGAAAACGTATTTTCGATCAAAATCACTAGCGATTATTTTTGACAACTTTCGCTGCCTCTTTGAGCATCCTCTTGATGTCTAGTTGATTGTTTTGAATTGATATAATCTTGGGTTCTGACAATCTGTGTACGACAGAGGTGTCTTCGATCTAGTGTGATATTGTCAGTTTCTGAACTTAGTGTTTGTAAGAGTTTTGCTGAACTTTCTACACAATCAGGTGATATAAATGTCGAAGATTAGAGGTGTTATAAGAAAGTAACATACACAAAGAAGAAGGAGAAATAACAACGATATAATATACCAGATAAGAAAGTAGGAGCAAACGACTCAAGAGCACTCGCCACCCAACCACTGTTTCTGAATGTTTTGTCTTTGTTGTCTATATGTTATTAACGTTTAAGATGGCCGAGGCTAAAAACGGGGTAAAAGTTGTCTTTATTGGTGCGGTAAGACAGTCTTCACAAAGTAATGACAAACTCACTATCAAACGTGTACCCACAGACTCGCACCATTACGTTCCTTTTATACGAGCTCACAACTTCTAAAAGCACAGGAGAATAATGGTGTATCAAATTGTTCGAATCATCAACCTACAACTGGGTAAAATAGACACATATTACATCCAATGATTTCCAAAGCGTCACCACCCCCCCCCCCCTCCGCCCACCTCTACCTTGTTTTTCGTTTCCTATTGTGTAACCTCAACACACACTTAACTCAGTGACATTAGTGTCTAATTCTTTTTTCACTTTCCTGAAATCACTTGAGAGTCATTCCCAGTGCAAATTATGTATACATAATTCCGTGCGTTGTTTGGGATAGTTGCTGAATTTCGCAAGAAATTAGTCATTTTCTTGACATATATTGCGAAGTAATGGTACTTTCTGACAATCACTTGTCAGAAAATAATCTTGCGGTTTCCGCTTGAAAAAACAATCTCGGCGCAAATTGCCTTTGGCGAAAATATTGGGAAAGTGTTCATCTGAGGATTTCTGGTAGAAAAACCTGCGATTATTTCTTTTTTTTTCGTGTTGTCGATGCCTGTTGTAAAAAAAAAGGAAATATTTAAAGGCAACAGTATCATATTTTCATCTTAGAATTTGGTTGTTGTTGTTGTTGTTGTTGTTGTTGTTGTTGTTGTTGTTGTTGTTACTGAAGTTGTTTTCTCTTCCTATCGCTTACGGAAGAACGCCAAAGACAACTGTATTCAGATAAACATCCTTTGCGTATATTGTTCAGCTTCACAGTCAAAACCAGGGAAGTACTTTTTATTTAGCAGGTTCGACTTCTGACCCTAATGTTGACCCCCTAAAGTTGTCACTGGTTTCTGCGATGAAAAGATTGGCTCTTCGTCTTCTTACAGGAAATGTGAGTTTTATTTTCATGTAGATATGTTCAGTTAGTATATCTGTGTTTCTGCTGGGTCGAATCATCCCGTTTCCACAGTGGTCTAAATTGTGTAGGTGGGGGCGTAAAACAGTTTCAATTTTTTTGGAAGTCTCTTCGTGTTTTAGATGCACATCAAAAGAAGACACATGGTCACTTGCTCTGTAATGTTTAGACAGATACCAGACGCAAAAACCATATCAAGTGTCCAAGTAACATGTTCGGAAGAATCATAATATAAATGTTTGAACAATCCCTTTCTAAAAATCCATTTTGATTTGGCATCCTCAGATAGCCACCGGACCAGAGCTGGTCCCATCGTGTACCCGTCACCCGTACCCCAGCCCATTCTGTACGGCTCTCTCGGCACTTTTCTCGCTTCTCGGGTCGCGGAGAAAACCGGCATTAACGGTGAGTGGTCGGACTTGTAATATTTGTTTTTTTACTGTCTGCGTTGTTGTTGTTGTTGTTGTTGTTGTTGTTGTTGTTATTGCTGTTGTTGTTGTTGTTGTTGTCCGTCATGAAGATGTATAACTTGTTGTAACGGTCCAATTTGTCATTCCCTGAAGCTGAATGTTCATGACTAAATAGTCTAAAGCAATGTGGAATTAAAACCAAAACAGAAGTTACTTCAGGTCACAAGTCTTCGGTTGAGATGATCTTACATTTTACCTCACAACACACCTATTCATCTCACCTGTATATCCGTCCTCAGATTTACTGGAACATCACCTAGAGCTCAAGTTGAACCACAGCATCATCATGGCCCTTGCCTGGCGCCTCGACTGCCTCAGGGTCATGTACGGACAGATGAAAATCCTGGATTACGGAACTCAGGCTTACAAGGTGAGAACTGGGGGAAGATGGAACGGAATGAGATGAGCCGTGGGAGTGAAATCAGTTAACATGACAAGCAAAAAGACATAACATTTAGTAAAATGGGATTTTAAAGGGACATTGACTATTTTGACATGAAGTGAGGTGAAATAACAATACAAATATCTAATGAGACAAATAACTATCTTATGTGTTCACGGTGTCCTTTGCGGGGACATGCGATGAAACAAAGTGGAACAGAATGAGATTAGGGTATGCAATGATATGCAGTACATTTTAATGTCAGGTTGAACTGTATGCTTATAACACTGATTCGAATCTCAAAGGTATCACTTCTTAATATAAAATCTGTGGGGGAGGGGGAGGGGGAGTCTTACAGATTTGATTTTAAGAAAACTGAAATCAAATCGTGAAAGTTCAGCCTTGTAAATAATCGGATGATTCCAAAAAAAAATAGTAAATTGCAGTTCATGCGACGCTGTTTTTGGTCCAAAACGAAATTGAAGTCATACAGAAACTGTAAGAAACATTAACATCAGTTATTTCTCTGCCAACAGCTTCTATACCGTTAGTTGATAAGTTGCATGTACTTTGACTTTCGGGGTTCAAATTTCATTGATGTCCCTTTATCTGTCCTGACTTGAATACTTTTACACTAAATACTGAGTTATGACATTTGACCAAGTTATTCAACCTAGACAAACAGAACTAAGAGTAAACAAACTCAGTTCTTAAAGGAAGCTGTTGTTAGTAGTTGAATCCTTAACTATGGCGATACAAGACTAAATAAACAGTTTTGGAAAAAATAAATAAAACGATCTTCTTCTCTTTGAGCTTTAAACAGTTTCACACGACTCTTGTTCTCATCGGCATTTAGTCTGGAAGTGTAAAGAGGGATGTCTGAATTTAGTAGGAACAAAGTAAGTCGGATGCCTTGAGACTTGGAGACAAACATTGTTTCACGTTGAATTATTCTACGAGTGGGCGGCTCCTGGCCCATTGTTTGAGTGTCTACTGTTCACATTACTTTCTGTTTGTTCATTCAGCGGTGTGGACTTTCGAAATTGAAAACCATTTTGTTTCAAAACAAGTTCCTGTTTTAGTGAGCTCTGATGAACTTGCTTGGGGTTTTTTAAATTCCCGTTACATTTTTTGCTACTTTCTCTTTGAAGATGTTCGAAACAATCACACTCTTTATCTCAAACATTTGAAAAGCTGTCATAGATGTTTGGAGATTATTTGCATACGTTCATTTGAGTTAAGAATTGTAACTTTACCAAATGGGTTGGTGAGTAAGGTATCTATGTGGAGGTATGTGTGTGTTTGTGTGAGTGTGTGTGTGTGTGTGTGTGTGTGTGTGTGTGTGTGTGTGTGTGTGTGTGTGTGTGTGTATGTGTGTGTGCGTGTTTTTATTTGTAATCTTATGGAATATTTACGAGAAGGGGTAGACGTGGGGCGGGGGGGGGGGAGGGGTGCGATTTAGGAGTAAGGTGGGATTGGTCGTCCCTGCCTTCCAAGGCCAACCAAGGTGACATTGGGTACTGTGTCCTATCGGGAAAGGCACTGATATTAAACAACATTTACTCGTGATAATTGGTTATTGGACTTCCGGTTTGTTTGTTTCGTTTGTTTGTTTGCTTTTGTTTGTTTGATTGGGTTTGTTGTTGTTTTGTTTTTTTTGCTTCTTTTAGTTTGTTTGTTGGCTTTTGTTTGTTTGTTGGGTTTTTTAGTAGGATTTATTTTGGGTTAACAAGGCGTAAAACTGAACTTTACACCACGCATGCCGGTAATAATATTATTATGGTTACAAAAGAACATAACAAAGCGGGGAAACACTTTCCGGAACAGATCGCTTGATGATGTTAAACTCACAGGAAAAGCGACCATGAAATATACCGGAAAGCGGAAAAAGACGTGGTTATTATTTATCTTTATTTCATTGTGTGTGGGGTCGGGTGAGGATGATGGGAGATGGCGACGTACTATAGGACCCGTGAAGACCCAGACTTCTGTAACTTCCGGCGGAAGAAGGGTTGAAGGCACGCACGGACGTCAGAGGATCAACACAACGACTATTATCACTCTTCAGCGAAAGGAACACAGAAAGTAACAGCCTTCGTGGGAAGCGAAAAGAGACAGGGGGGAGAACCGCGATCGATGTCAAAGATTTTTTCCTTCCTTCAATCCTCCCTGTGCGAGCCTCATGTAGCGTAATAATTGTGAGAATGCGGACGCACGTTCGTCCGTCGAAGCGGGATATGACGTCTTCAATGTGGGATGGGGGAAAGACTTGTCAGGATCTTTTTTTTCAACTTTTTTTAGTTCCGCTCATGTGAGAGATTTTCATTCTTCTGTCCGTTTCTGAGATTGCTGTTTGTGCAATGAGTAAATTGAGCAGTATATATCTCTCTCAAGCTCACGCACGCATGCAAGCATACACACACTCACACACACACACACACACACACACACACGAGCGTGCGCGCATACACACATACTTGTTCCCTGCTAATAGAAACACCACACTTGTACCACGCAACATAAAAAGCTAAATATACTTTTTCAAGCTTGATCGGAAGTTAAACATACACTACCCAGAAGCTCCCCACCCTCAACTTATACGCCTTACATTCCCATATCGAATCGTCGGGGATTTTTTTTTCCTTCTTTTTCGTCAGCTGCTGATGCATAATTACAATTCTCGATTTCTCGATTCCCATCTCATGCGTCTCACATAGGCCAAAGTTAGAGATACAATTGCAAGCTTAAGCTACCCCCCGATAAGCAAGATGGCGAATATTAAAGAATCTATCACCGTGCTGTCATATTGTGGGTTGGTTTCCAACACTAGTCTCACAAGTGACCACACATCCAAACCACCAATACGCCTACATTTCGACCGTTGACGTCATAGGTAAACAAACGGCGGGCAGTTGCTCGAAATAGCTGCCACGGGGTAAGGATATATTGTTGTGATTTAACATCATTAGAACTTAGGAAACATTTACTCGATTGAACGAGCGATCGGTTGGTGCTGAGACGGCCAGGGTGTGAAATCCCATTTTACAGGGTACTCGCGCTGAAGGAGCTTTGCAGCGGCAGTCATAGTAGATGTCTGTGTTGTTGTAACCTAATCAAGGTTTCTTAATTTTCAAGAAAACACTTTGACAATTTCAATACAGAGGAGAAATGATAGAGGTGGAAAACGAGAGAGAGAGGGAGAGAGATAAAGAAGGACCGGCAGAGGTGAGAAAGGGCAGACAGAAAGAGAGGCTAAGAGAAAGACAAAGAAAAACAGAGAAAGAAAAGAGAAGGATCAGTAGTAAAACTGTCGATTACGGATTTTTAAAATCTATTTAATTTTTTTTTTAGGTGGGTGAGGGGGTGGTTAGGGAAAGATTTTATTTTAGTTCTGTTTAGAGACATTTTCTAAAACTGTTTATCTCAACAAAATAAAATTCTGCCCCTGTCAGAAGGGCACATAAAGTTCATGAACATACCCAGGTAATATTTAGTTGATTGGTGGAATAACTCTATTACTTTGAATCTGAATAAATGTGTGAGCCTAAACCACACAATTTTGCAATGGTCATTGATGAATATTGCAACGTTCGGTTACTGCAGCTTGAACAAAAACCGACAGTGGTACTTTAATTTTGTTTGACAAAAGGCCAATAATCTTAAGTTAACACACACGAAAATTCACATTTTTTAACTCAGTTCTGAACCCTTGCTCAACAAGCACCCTGCAGTGTGAGTTTTGGTGGCCGGGGTCATGGGCGAAGTGGCAAGATGTCAGCGTTTACCCGGAGATGATTGGTCAACAGCTACGTGTCGGTCTTCAGTGCTGGAACCGGCTCCTCTGGCTGTTTGCACAGTCAACAAATCGGTCTCGTCCACTTTTCACGAGAGTCTGGGACATGATGGATATGTCGTGGGGAGAAAAAAAAAGGTCGAAGAAAGCGGTAGATTAGAGAAACCGCACCTTCTAGAAGGGAGAAAAAGAGAACTACCACTGAACAAAGATAACAAACTTGGGAATTAAAATATTCGTAATAAAAGGAAGCACGAATACCTCCCCCCCCTCTCTCTCTCTCTCTCTCTCTCTCTCTCTCTCTCTCTCTCTCTCTCTCTCTCTCTCTCTCTCACTCTTCATTGTTTTCTTCATTTTTGTTATTGTTTCTCGGCGTTTGCAACTGTATAGGGTCTAATGAGCTCAGGGGACACACCAAAAATTTGCAGTTGATAGGAACTTTTGAATTTTGTCAGTGTGGCGGCCGATGCCTATTCTTGTCGATTTTAGACCCCCAAGGGATCTTTAACGTACACAACTTGCACACGGGACCTCCGAGATTTCTCGTCCTCGTCCGAGAAGGCTAGCTGTAATTTTTCCTACCAGAATACCAGGTGTGTTTCTGAAAGACAGCACTAAGAAGGAGCTAAGGAGTAGCAGTAAAAAGGCCGCAGAAAGAGTCAACAAGCCCAGAGTAGGGGGCAAAGGGGGTGAGGGGGTAGGGGCAGAAAGTGAAGATAAAAGCAGACGACATAACATGGTTAGAGAGCAGAAAAACAACATTTTGTTCAGTCGCATTCCGGATTCAAACGCGGGACCTTTGAATGAGAGGCGAACACCTTAGCCTCTAGGCCACGAGAGCACCCTTGTGTTCTTCTCTCTTTATTTATATACACTTAATGATAATAATACGAATATCAATGAGAATAGTAATGATAATGATAATATCTCCTGTTGTTGTTTCTAGGTAAACGGCCTAAAAACTAAAGACCAGCAATGGAAGGACCAGCTTGCAATGCAGCTTGCTCACCTGGTGAGTGTATGTTTGTGTTAATTATTCTTTGATGCTGCGCTGGGTGAGTTATACGCACGTTTTCTGTTTTTTCCCCTCCATGAGTTTTTATGTGTGTCAAATCGGAATCGACGCTCTGGCATAACATGGACAACTATGGTTGATGGTGAGGGCTAGATCTTCTAAGAACCTGCCTAAGATGGAGGTTAATTACTTTAAAAAGCGATACAGTAAGAAGAACAACAAAGCAACCACCACCACAATACCAACAATATTAACAACAACAGCAACAACAGCAACAATGACAACAACAAGAATAACAATGACAGCAACGACAACAACCACAACGAAAACGTTATCCGAAGGAGACTATGATCCTGGTAAGAAGCACCCGTTTCGGTGTGACAGAGAGGCACAGCGGAGACAAAAGTTGAGTGGCAACAGATTCCTTCGTCTGATGAACCTGTCGCCTCCACACGTAAACACACACACACACACACACACACACACACACACACACACACACTTACATTCAACGACAAAAACAACAACAACAACAACAACAACAACATCAACAGCTCCGCAACAACAGCAGTAACTGCAACATATTTATATTACGAGTATACTTGTATTTCTACTGCCTGAACAAGCCCAAGGGCAGTTTTCTTGAAGTCAACCACGGCCTCTGACTGCTGCACTACAATTTGACGAGTGACCACTTCATTTGACCTCAAATTGCTTTCCGTCCTACCAAATGAGCCCGAGTTTAGTAGTGTGTCTTGATTCTTGTGAAGGTCATTCATCCCCAGTTTTTATTCCAAATTATTTTCGTTCCGTTCGAAAATTCTGTATGGATGTTTTAAATAATATGAGCAGTTTTAAGATCATGTATCTCCATGACAATTTAATTCATTGATAATTTTCGCCCACTCTCTCATGGTGTTGCTGTAACAGCGAAAATTGAGAAAATAATGTTGTTATGATGGAGGTGAACTTTTTCTCTAGGCAAAGCGCATTATATTCTACTCACTTATCATCACTTTGGCACCGAGTCCAGAATTTATCAGGAGCCATTATAAACAGGAACACGAAAAACAATAACAAAGACCTTTGTAATCTGAAGAATTACAAACTTTCAAATTGACTTTTGTTCTCAAGAAGAAGAAGATAATCCGCCTACAGTCGGCATGAGGTGAGGATTCGTCGATATTTGTAACTACCCTGCCTCTGCATTATTATTTGTGAGGCATCGTGGTGAAATCAGTCGCTCGTCAAAGAAATGCAATCCGAGAAATCGGCATTTTTTGTTCAGTTTGGAATTTTTTTTCTCGAATTTTTGTTTTCTTCCTCATAACTGTTTATATCCCTAAAAAGACTCTTTTATGTGTGGATTTTATGGAAAAACGTTGATTAAAGGCACAACAAATTTTAATTTGCAGTTTCCAAGTTTAACTGTGGAAGTCACCAAATTTGGCGGCCATTTTCTCTCTAATTATACTTCTGAAACTAGGCGACACCACCTCCTTCAATCGCAAATATGTCGACTTCTATTAAAGAAAAATGGATTTCTTTTCATTAAAAGCTAGGCAAATGAACAGCCTTTACGATGAAACCAATAACTCCATATGCCCAAAAATTGGCGAGCACCTGAAATCACTGCGTCGTGACATATTTCTCTTTTTTTCTTTTTCCTGATATCCATGTGAGAAGACTTCATAAACAATTAGCTCAGCATTTGTGAAAAGGAAAATTATACCTACTAAATAATCGTTGGTGTTTTGACGTAGCTTGCTTTTTAAGGTCGATGTCGTGCTGCGCAGGGGAAGGATTCGATACCCCCGCGGGCCCGCAAACTCGGCACTTATAGCCTGGTCTTTCCCGCACTTTCTGGCTGTTGTGGGTTTTGTTTTCCTGTTGTTTGGCGGATCGATTTTGCTACACATGTGTTCAAAACTGTTTTGAGAGTTGAGTTGTGTAATTGGATTGTGCACTATTGGTTTTTCTACTTTGATGCATTACAGTCATGGGTATATTTTGGTTTAATTAGTTAACTCTGGGTCTTTTCGAAAAATCTAAACGATTTTTAAAAAATCTTTGAATGCATCACAGACCATCTCAGAGTGAAGTATTTTCACTTTTTTTCTCTTTTTTTTATTGTATCCAGCTTATGCAAACAGTTTTTATGCACTTTTAACATCATTCCATCTTTTCCTCTTGTTGTCCGTTGATAGTTGAGTTTAGCTGAGGAGGGTACCTTTTGCCTCTTAAATTCTAAACGCACTTTGTTGCTTAAAACATTATCTGCAAATTTCATAATGATACGCATCAACTGTCTACAGGCTTGGATGAGATCGGACATGGAACTGGACGCTGACCATTTTATCCCTGGCCTCACCTTCACCAGACCCCAGATGTTTTTTATCGCGTTTGCACAGGTAGGAGTTACGTTCGCACCTCATTTCTATTTACTGATAGAGGTTGACATAATTATTTCATAAGTTTTCACCAGTTTCTCAAAAAGCTTCCAGAGTTCCCTCCACCGTTTTCTTTCCATTACGTTGTAATAAAGTATTATTCCTCGACTATCCTACGGATACCATACAAAACGTAATATGTTTGTACAAGCACCTAC